GCGGGAGGGCCGCGCCGTGGTGCTCACCTCGCACAGGTGGGCCCTGCGCCACTGCACACCCGGGCGAAGGATCGAGGTGGTCCGGGCCTGGGGAGAGGTTGTCCACCGCTCGTGGCCATGCTCATGGGGAAGTTTCCACCCGGTGGGGTGAAAGCGCCAAGTCCAGGAAAAGAGCATCTGGGCCCAGCGGGAACCCCAGAGCAGAGGGTGCCCGGGATCTGGAGAGAGGGTCTTGGCCAGGAGGGCGTAGGTGCCCGCGGTCACAGACTCATGGATCGGGGCTCCTGCAGCATGGAGGAGTGCGAGGCGCTCTGCACACGCCTGGCCATCATGGTGAACGGGCGCTTCCGCTGCCTGGGCAGCGCTCAGCACCTCAAGAGCAGGTGAGCGCCCCGGGTGAGAGGTCTCCACGCGGGTGTGCGAACGTGGGCAGGACAAGGGAGCCGCCAGACCTGGGGCCAGAAGGGAAATTGGCTCTAATTGAAGGGGCCAGGGCTGGTCCCAGATGGGACTGAAGGGTAGAGTCGGGATTGATGGAAAGAACCAGAAGGGAGATGTGATCTGATTGGTGAGATGGAGGCTGTGGGTGGGGTTAGAGGAAGGTTGGTGAATGGGTGGGTGGGGCCTGCAGGTGAGGACCGCTAGGAATGTGCTGAGTGGTGATGGAGCAGGATTAGGACTCGCGGGGGGGGGGCAGCCCTGTGTGTCGGGAAGGGGGTCAGATGGGCTCATGCCTAGTGCAGGGTAGGAGCTGTCAGGATGGTGTGGGCAAGACTGGCATCCCTGGTCCTGTCCACTCCAGGTTTGGGGCCGGCCACACTCTGACCCTGAGGGTGCACACGGACCAGTCGGAGCAGGCAGCAGCCTTTGTGACAGCAGAGTTCCCGGGGGCCGAGCTTCGGGAAGCACACGGGCCCCGCTTACGCTTCCAGCTGCCACCAGGAGGGCACTGTGCCCTAGCTCGAGTGTTCCGGGAGCTGGCAGCACATGGCCCTGACCATGGTGTGGAGGACTTCTCCGTGAGCCAGACCACGCTAGAGGAGGTGACCGCGATGCCAGCCAGGGCTGGGGGACGTCTGGGGCCAGCGCCTTGGGCTCACAGTCTCTCCTTCTGTCCCTTCTGTCTGGGCCAGGTATTCCTGTACTTCTCCAAGGACCAGGGAGAAGATGAGGAGGAAAATGACAAGAAGGAGGAAGTGGAGGTGGGGGTGGACCCCACGCCAGACCTGCAGTGCCCCAAACGCACCTCGAGCTGCTTTCTCGATGACCCCAGCACTATGGAGACAGTGCTCTGAGTCTCCCTGGCCTGGGGGCTGGTGGGAGTCCACCAATGTGAGAACAAAAAAGGCCAGGTTGCTGGGCATGGGAGCACACATCTGTCATCCCAGTACTCAGAAGGCTGAGTCAGGAGGATCTCTGAGAGTTGGAGGCCAGCCTGGGCCAGCCTGGGCTACATAGTGAGTTCAAGGCCAGTATGGGCCTCATAGCAAGACCCTGTCCCAAAACAAACAAACAAAAAAACCCAAAGGGGAAGTGAAAGGCCCAGGAGCTGGACCAAGCTCCCAGTGAACCTGAGACCCTGGAGAAATAAAGAGAAGGCTGGAAAGATGTGGTGACAACATCGTGTGACTTTGTAGCAGGCATATGGGGCCCCCTAGGAGCCTGGTATCCTGTCCCTGGGTCCCTGTGTGCCCTCTTGGGTCTGGCACCTGAGAGTGGTGTTTGGGAGTGCTCTGGACCGTGAAGTGGGGGTGAGGTCAGGACTCTGGAATGTCCCAGGCGCCTTAGCAGAGCCTGGAGCACCTGCCTTCCCGCCATCCTGGAGCCCTCTACCCACAGCCTTGCCTGCCCCAGCCCCAGAGCAATGAGTGGGCGTCAGACCGTCCTCAAGGGGCTGCTAGGCTGGGTGTGTGGTTGGACCAAGGCCTGGAGAGCTGGGATTGGGACAGAGGGCTGTGGGCTTGCTGGCCTGTGCCCCAGGCAGGCACCCCTTGCACCAAAGGTCAGTTTGGATATCTGGGGGGTGGGCTGGGGAGGGTAAAATGTTTGGGGTTTTTTTTCTTTTTGCTGTAGTAGGGATTGAACTCAGGGCCTTTGAACTGAGATGCACCCTCAGCTCTTTTATTTTTTTATTTTGAGACAGAGTCTTGCTAAGTCATTAAATTGCTCAGGCAATGCTAGAACTTGCAGTCCTCCTGCCTCTGCCTCCCAGAATGCTGGGACGATGACAGGCATGAGTCACCATGTCCAGATACGGGTTTTTGAATCCTAGGACAGGATTGAGACAGGGAGGAAAGAAGTCTGCGGCCAGGAGGACAGGTTTGCTGAGGGTCAGCACAGAAGTAGATGCCTCAGCCCTGGTACCGAGGGGTCCCACAGTGAGACCAGCTTTCTCTGTGTGTGTCTTGTCACCCCTGTGTGGAGTGTCTGTCCTGAGGCACTGCCATGTGCCTGAAAAGAACAGTGGGAGGTGGGCGGCTGAGCCAAGCTGCCGTGGGCGCTGGGCAGAGAGCCGGGGGGAGACACCTGCTCCCACATAGGGCTCGTCCTGCGGAGGCAGTGGGTCAATATGCAGGGAGGAGTTTGGCCACTGTTGGAGTTGAGATCTGATCATGGAGCTCTCTGTCTGTCTCACCCGCAGAGCTTCATGGATCCGAGTGTGTGTGCAAATCCGTGTTCCCACAAGTGCTCTGTGCACTCCTGTTTGCTTCCCCAGCACTGTGGATTGAACCCAGGGTCTTTGCATTGATCTACTCCCCAGCCCCTGTGTGTGTGTGTGTGTGTGTGTGTGTGTGTGTGTGACACAGGGTCTCCCTATATAGCTCAGGCTGGTCTTGAACTTACTGTGTAATCCTGGCCAGCCTCAAATTGGCAGCGATCCTCCTGCCTCAGCCTCTGGAGTGCTGGGATGACGCGTGTGCCCCTAAGCCGGCTGTGCCCTCCTAGTTGCACCTCAGTGGATATGCCCAAGAGAGGATCAGTGCCCTGCCGTCCGCGGAGCGTGCCCGCCTCCCCGGTGCCCACTGAGGGCGCGTGCAAAGCAGGACGCGCATCCTGTCTGTCTCCCCAGCGCGCCGAGTGCGCTGCTCTTGAAAGCGGAAGCCAGGGTTGGGGCGCGAGGCGGGGCGACCGACGGGAGACCGAGGTTCGCGCCCACACTGCAGAGTGACATGCTGAGGCCGGGAGGGTGGGGGCGGGTCCCTGCACCGCCTCCGGAGTCCTTTCCTACTCTGAGAGCCTGCGAATGAGGGCCGAGCCTGTCACGTGGGCGTGACAGCCGCGGAGGGGTGGCCCGCGGCAATGTGTTCGGGAGGCGGCCCGCGCAGAGAGCCGAGCGCCGAGGACCCCAGCCCGGCCCGCCCCACCCCGGTGTACCCCGACCCAGGGCTGCCCGGCCGGCCCCACCATGTTCTCCAGGAAGAAACGCGAGCTCATGAAAACCCCTTCCATCTCCAAAAAGAACCGCGCGGGAAGCCCCAGCCCACTGCCGTCGGGGGTGAGTCGGGCGCTGGGCGCAGGGCGCAGAGCAGGCAGGAGCTGGGGCCATGACGCAGTGCTCGAGGGGACAGCACCTTGCCACCATGCTGGGTCAGAGACTGGGGTCCCGCGCCAGCTACAGCCCCCGGCAGGCAGAACAGCGGGGAGCAGCGAGGGGAGCCTGGCACCCGGGTGTCTGCCTAACGGTACGGGGTCTTGTCGTGGCCGCCTGATCTGCGTCCCATTAGAAATCCAGAGTGGGTAGGGAAGGGAGGCGTCTGGGTGGGCTGTGGGGGGCTGCATGGTGGACCGTGAGGGTCAGGAGTTTGTGGGGTTCCAGGAACCATTGGGAAGTGGGGCCTTGGCATTGGGTTAAAGCCTACAGGGGATCATTTAGTGGGAAACATTGGCTACAGGGATCTGTGTGTATCCAGGGCCTGGGTGTGTCTACGAATCTTAGGGGTGTCTCGAAGTTTGGGGTGTCTCAAGTTTGGGATGCATGCATAGGAGGCCCCGGGAGTGGCCACAGGACTTAGGGGTCCACCGGACAGACGCGGAGGTTAGATACAGGGATCCTCAGAGTTGCCTTTCCTGGAAAGTGACCCCATCTGCGGTGGGGGGAGGACGGAGAGGGCTGGGAGGGCCGAGGACCCTCAACCCCACCAGGAAGCCGGCGCCCTTCCCCCACGCCCTGCGCAGGCCCCGCCCACTGCGGTTTGGGCAGGGACCGTTGTTTGTGAAAGCGCCGGGAAGAGGATGTTGGGTAACAGGTGGCGGGGGGAGGGGGGACAGCCCCAAATCTCAGCCCCCGACCCCGACGCCGGCCTCTGATCCTGTGGAGTGGGGCGGAAGACCCTGCAAGGCCCCACTGCCTTCCCAAGGAAGCTGGCTGAGGCAGTGGGCAGGAGGCAGCACCCACTTCATTGACCACCTCTGTCCTCCCAGGAGCTGCCCAGGAAAGATGGGCTTGATGCAGTGTTCCCTGGACCCAGCCCGGAGCCCCCAGTCCCGTCCTCTGGTGTCAAGTCCACAGCCACCTTGAAGCGGCCCACCAGCCTTAGCCGCCATGCCAGTGCCGCCGGCTTCCCACTCTCTGGAACTGGCTCCTGGACACTAGGTCGGGGCTACCGAAGCCCCCTGACAGCCGCCAGCCCTGCAGAGGCACCCACTGAGGGGCCTGGTGCTGAGGCAACAGATGACATCTCAAACCTGCTGGCTGATGTGGCCCGCTTTGCAGAGGGTCTGGAAAAACTCAAGGAGTGTGTATTGCATGACGGTGAGTGGCCTGGATGTGTGGAAGGCAGGGCCAAATACACAAACTACTGAGAAAAGGACGTGGATTTCACAGAGGGCTGTGTAGACCAGGCCATTATAGCTAAGGTTCTGAGGGATGTATAGGAGTTTGATGGCATATGGAGGCAAGGGTATCAGAACAAAGGGAATGTTCTGTGCACAAGCTGAGAAATATGGAAATACAGAATGCATTCAAAGGTATGTGGCCTATGAGGATGAAGGGATGAGAAGGCCAAACTGAGGAACCCCAGATCTTATCCCATGGGCAATAGGTAACCACACAAGGTGTTACAGGAGTGGACTGTGGGGTCCTTCTGCATTTGGAACCATGCGGACTGGAGGTCTGAGGTGGAGAAGTGCATGTACCAGGCAGGAGGTTCTGGGAGTGAGTGGCGTGTGAGATAGATAGTTCCGTTTTCTCCTCCACGAGGCTACAACAGCCCAGCTTCCTGCCGAGTTATTTTCATCTGCTTCCTGTTTGTCCCTGGCAGCCGGGCAGGCACCTTGAGCTGGGGCAGGCACAGCATCTCATGTGCCATCTTCAGGCCCCACCAGCTGATCCCAGAAACCACAGTGCCAAGTGCCCTGGCAGCTCCTCTCAGCAGCCCGTTCCACAGATGGGGAAACTGAGGCCCAGCAGGCTCCATCCCAGCCTACAGGGTGCTGATGGGGGTTCTGTGGCCCTGATGGGAGGGTGCCAGCCCCCCGGGGCTATCTGGTCCCGGGGCGGAGGCCTGTTTCCTGGGGAAACTGTAATCTCCATTCCTTTCCGATCCTGGGTTTCCTTGGAGGCCTGGCCTGGGCAGGGTGAGCAGGGGTGTCCTGTGAGCAGGAAGTCTAGAGGAGTCTAGGGCGCCTCTGCCTCCGGGGAAGGGCCACAGGGGGGTTTGAGTCCAGGGCTGCCCCGTGCAGTTGGTAGACCCTGGAACACCCACTGCCCTGTCTGGGTCTTCAAGACGGGGTGGGAATCAGGGGATGGCGGTGCTTGCCTGACCTCCCAGAATGCTGTGAGGCTGAGGCAGGAGAATCCCAAGTTCAGCCCCTGCCCGGGGAATTTAGCAACTTAACAAGACCCTGTCTCAAAATAAAGGGCTGGGATGTAGATCAGTGGGAAAGCACCTCTAGGTTCAATCTCCAGTACCACACAAGAAAAAGAGAAAAGAGAGAGAGAAAGAGTGAGAGCACACGCCGGGCGTGGTGGCGCACACCTGTAATCCCAGCACTCAGGAGGCTGAGGCCGGAGGATCGCTATGAGTTCCTGGCCAGTCTGGACTACTACATACCAAGATCCTGTCTCAAAACACAAAACAAAATAAAAGAAGGAGGGATGGTGACCACAGGCCCTGCGGCGCTGGTGTGCGGGCCACCAGGTGGCCAAAGGACAGTGAGGTTGTTGTGGGTCTCGCTCCACAGATGGGTGCATTCCACAAGACTTTGCCCCTTAGCCGAGCCTTCCACGCCTTGGGCTTGGACTCTGGGCCTCAGTTTCCCCGTCTGACTTCCGTCTGCCCGACATGGAATGGCACAGCTGCAGCCAGGATTCCTTCCAACCAGAGCAGTGGGCGCCCAGGACCCCGGTCCAAGCCATCAGGCGGGCTTTGGCTGGAGGGCAGGGCCTGTGCACCGGCTGGATCCGGTTCGCTCTTAGGGGACACCGGAGCCCCCGCCGGTCTTTGGCCTGGTCCCACACCCCCGTCCCCGCTCACCCACGCCGCGCCTTGTGCACCTGCGGCATCCCGCGCTGGGCAATGACTCTGGGTGCGGCCCGGCACAGGTGAGGGGACGATGCGGATGCTGTGGCCCGGTCTGGGGCGCGGGGCCAAACCCCGCAGGTGCCCGGGCAGCCAGCTTCCGAGGTGTGGAGACTCGCAGGGCCCTTGGTGGCCCCGACGCTGCCGGCGACCTGAGGGGACAGGTGGGGAAAGAAGAGCCCAGAAGGGGCGGGGCCTCCTGGATTCATGAGGTCCCGCCCCTCCCTAGGGGGCAGCAAATAACCCGGCTCCCACCGAGGTCCAAGCGGAGGAATCATCGCCCTGAGGTGGCCTTCAGTGAGGGTCTAGCCCACGCCTCAGTCTCCATGTCTTTGGTCATCCTGGTCCCTTCCACAAATTCCTGTGATTTGGCTTCTGCTAGATACCCCATTCTTATTTATGAGGGGGTTTTTGTTGTTATTGTTGTTTGGTACCGGGGATCGAGAACTCAGGACCTTGTGTTTGTGAGGCAAGCAAGGTGCAACTGAGCTAAATCCCCCACCCTTTTGTAGTTTTTTGAGACAAAGTCTCACTATGTAGCCAGGGCTGACCTCAAACTCGCAGTGATCCTCCTGCCTCAGCCTCCCGAGTTCTGGGAGGACAGGCGTGCGCCACCACACCTTGCTAGATACCCCATTTGTCCAAAAAATCTTCTGATTTCGAGAACTTGGGGAGGGCATTTAAAGTCCTGTTCCACCAGGAAGATGTGACCTCACCTCTTCTTCGCTCTGATTCCTGCTATGGCTCCTGGGAGCTGGAGCCCAGGGGGGCCTTCCTCATACTTGTAGCCAGCAGATGGGAAAGCCATGTGGGATTAAATAATGATTCTCCTTTCTTACTCAGCAAAATAGGTGTGATGATGGTGCCTCCCCAAGAGGGAAGTGGGCAGGGCTGCTCAGGGCCCAGGGCCCAGGCAGGCAGGATGGGGAGAGAGCAGGATGGGGCCTGGACCCATTCTAGAGGGGAGCAGGGAAAGGGCCAGGTGGGCTAACCCGAGGAGGAGGAGGCCTAATCAGGATTTACTCCCGGAGGGGCTGGAAAGTTGTTTGGAGAAATGAGTGTGCGGGCTGTCACATGGCCTTTGTGGACCTCACCAGGATCCGGAGAGGGGCAGTGTTCCCCACACTTTCACAGGTGCCCTCACCCACCTCTGCCTCAGTTTCCCCACTTGGCAAGAGAAGCTCCAAGGACGCCAGCAGACATTGCCTCTTTCCCTGCTCATACCCTCTCTGCCCAGCAGATCTCCTGGAGGCCCGCCGGCCGCTGGCCCATGAGTGCCTGGGTGAGGCCCTGCGTGTGATGCGCCAGGTTATCTCCAAGTACCCGCTGCTGAACACTGTGGAGACGCTGACTGCTGCAGGCACACTCATCGCCAAGGTTAAAGGTCAGCAAAGCCTGAAAGGGCTTCCTGGAGGAGGTGATATCTGAAGTGGGTTTTGAAGGATGGATAGGAGTTCTACAGGCACAGTTGATCCCTGATGCTCCCCCTCTGGGCTAACGGCTCAGACCAGATAGTTACAAAGAGAGTGTGGGCCAACGGTGTGTGTCTTGTCTGCCTCCCAGCCTTCCATTATGAATGTAACAATGAGTCAGACAAGCGGGAGTTTGAGAAGGCCCTGGAGACCATCGCAGTGTCCTTCAGCAGCACGTGAGCAGGGGCATCTGTGGGCCAGGGGCAGGGAAGAGGGGTGCTGTGGGTCCCCACACACTGACCTCCTGGCCCTGCAGCGTGTCCGAGTTCCTCATGGGTGAGGTGGACAGCAGCACACTCCTGGCCGTGCCACCAGGGGACCCCAGCCAGGTGAGCAGAAGGAGCGCGGCCGCCCCGGGACCTCGGGGTGTGTTGGGGCGGGGAAGTCACACGAGTGTCCCCTTGCGAACAGTCCATGGTCCCGCCCCCCGCCCCCGGAGGAAGTGGACATGCTGCTGCAGCGCTGCGAGGGCGGCGTGGACGCGGCCATGCGATACGCCAAGAACATGGCCAAGTACATGAAGGACCTCATCGGCTACTTGGAGAAGCGGACTGCTCTGGGTGAGCGCATGCGTGGCGGGCCCGGTGGGTGAGGCCGGGTGGAGCCTTTGTCCCCAGCGTGACCACCCCGCCCCCGGAGGAAGTGGACATGCTGCTGCAGCGCTGCGAGGGCGGCGTGGACGCGGCCATGCGATACGCCAAGAACATGGCCAAGTACATGAAGGACCTCATCGGCTACTTGGAGAAGCGGACTGCTCTGGGTGAGCGCATGCGTGGCGGGCCCGGTGGGTGAGGCCGGGTGGAGCCTTTGTCCCCAGCGTGACCACGCCCCCTCACGCCCCCAGAGATGGAGTTCGCCAAAGGTCTGCAGAGACTCATCCACAGTGCCAGACAGAACATCATGCATGAGGTGGGCTCCGAGCAAGCCCCGGGCAGGGGTCTTCCTACTATAACGTGGGCGCTGTCAAATCCCAGCACTCTGGAAGCTGAGGCAGGAGGATCGAAAGTTCCAGAGTCCTGCCTGGGCAACTTAGTGACTTAGGACAACCCTGTTTAAAAATAAAAAAGGGGGGCTGGGGATTTAGCTCAATGGTTCCGCCGCTTCAAGGACCCGAGTTCTATCCCTGGTACCAATAAATAAATAAATAAATAAATAAAAATTTAAAAGGACTGGAAATGTAGCTCAGTTGTAGAAGGTGCCTATGCTCCATCCCCAAAACCACAAAAAGAACAAAAGAAAAGAAAAAAACTCAGCCAGGGATGTAGCTCAGTGGAGCCACACCTGCCTGGCAAGCTCGAGGTCCTGAGTTTGATCCCTCATACAGAAAAACAAACAAAAAACTCCAGGTTCATCACGGGTGTGATGGTGTAGCCTATAATCCTAGCACTCTGGGAGGCTGAGACAGGAGGATTCCAAGTTTGAGCCCAGCCTGGGCAATTTAGTGATTTAGCAAGACCCTGTCCCAGAGTAAAAAGGGCTGGGGATGCAGCTCATACAAAGGCCCTGGGTTCCATCCCCAGTACCATTTCCTAAAAAGTGCAGGTGCTGGCTGATACTGCAGAACTCCAGGGAGGGGGTTGGCAGGGAGGTGGCAGCTGGGGATACTGGGGCCGCCCTTGTCCCCATCCCCTGATGCAGTGATGGCTCCCTGCAGCCCCACATGCCCCTGCTGTCCATCTACTCGCTGGCACTGGAGCAGGACCTGGAGTTTGGCCATGGCATGGTGCAGGCGGTGGGCACGCTGCAGACCCAGACCTTCATGCAGGTGGGCTGTGGGGCTTGGAGGGCAGCCGGTGGGTGCATCCCTGGGGTCCCCTCTCATGCCCCGTGTCGCCTCAGCCCCTTGCCCTGCGGCGGCTGGAGCACGAGAGGCGCAGGAAGGAGATCAAGGAGTCCTGGCACCGTGCACAGCGGAAGCTGGTAGGAGCCAGGGTGGGGAGGAGGGGCGGCTGCACAGGCTCGGTGCTCTTGCACGACACTACACCTGAGCTGCTTGTGCGCCCTCTCTGGCTACTGCACAGGCCTTGGACCTGTCCTAGTTCGTAGATGCTCCAGCCCAGAGGCCCCAGTGTGCACTTACTGGTCCAAGGTCTAGAAATGATTTCTCCCAGGGGTTAGACCTAGAGGGTTCCCAGGTTGGATGGAAGCTGAGGCTCACTCACTTAGGTATGGGCTCCAAGTTCCTGGGTAGAATTCTTTCCTCGCTTCTCTTTTGGGATGCCTCAAAGGCACTACAGAAGGTGGGCATTGTGGCAGCAGCCTGAGATCATAGCACTTGGGAGGCTGAGGCAGGAGAATCCTAAGAGTTCGACACCAGTTAGGCTACATAGTGAGTTGAAGGCCAGCCAGAACTACACAGCAAGACTCTGTCTTTAAAAAAAATGCTTTGTACTTAAGACCAGGTGTTGTTAAGTTGCCCAGACTGGACTCAAATTTATGATCCTCCTGCCTCAGCCTCCCAGGAGGGTGCTGGGATGCCAAGCATATGCAATCAAACTCAGCTTCTTTTTTTTTTTTTTTAATACCAGGGATTGAAGTCAGGACTTTATACTTGCCAGGCAGGCATGGCCCCACTGAACTACATCCCCGACCTGCCTTTCTTTTTCTCTCTTTTTTTTTTTTTAGTGGTGTTTTTCGTCACTCATGCAAAAAAGGCCTTCCCCTCACTGGGGTTATTTTTAATGATTATCTTACTAATTGCTTTAGTTCTTTTTTGGGGTGGGTGGTATTGGACCCAGGCTAAGCACAAGCAAGCCACACCCTAGCATACCTCATTCTCTTCTGAATGTTGAAGCCTCTGTGGTCTAGAGGGCTGTGAGGTCCCCCTGCCCGCCCCCCAGTTCCTGGCCAAGCACTTCCTGAAGAACCCCATGGCTGCTGACTTCCTGCCTGGGCGGCCTCTGTTTCATCTCTTGGAAGGGAAGTGAAATCAGCTGAGGTGTGAGGCGCCAGCCTGTGCCTTCCGGGTGGGGCTGGATGGTAGCTGGTCCTTCTGTCTGGAGCAGAGCTGAGTGTGTCTGAATCTCCCTGGCTGAGAAAGGGGCACCTCTCCTGCTTGCCAGAGTGCGCTGTGGATTTCCAGGGGCCAGAAACTGGGTGGGCAAGGCTGGAGCCAGTCTTTTCCCCCCACACCGGCAGCAAGAGGCCGAGGCCAACCTGCGCAAGGCCAAGCAGAGCTATGTGCAGCGCTGCGAGGACCACGACAAGGCCCGCCTCCAAGTGGCCAAGGCTGAGGACGAGCAGGCGGCCACCTCGCCCGGGGCGGGCAGTGCAGCTTCCAAGACGCTGGACAAGCGGAGGCGGCTGGAAGAGGAAGCCAAGAACAAGGTGTGGTGGCGATGAGACCCAGGGGTGTGGTTTTCCACCTTGCCAAGAAAGCCCTTCCCACTGTGTGTGGTAGTGTACACCTGTCATTCCAACATGCTGGGTGGCTGATGCAGGAGGATCTCAAATTCTAGCCCAGCCTGGACAACTTAGCAAGATCTTGTCCTAAAAAAAACGTTTCACAAGTGTAAGGTCCTGAGTTCCATCCCTTACCAAAAACCAAAAACAAAAACAAACAAAACAAAAAAGGGCTGGGGGGGGTGTGAGGATTTAGCTCAGTGGCGCCTCCTCTGCCTGGCAAGCACAAGGTCCTGAGTTTGATCCCCAGTACTGCAAAACAAACAAACAAACATGCAAACAAAAACCCCACAAAACAAAACAAGAAAAAAAGGGCTGGGGATGTAGCTCATGGTGAAGGCCCAGGGTTCCATCTCCAGTACCACAAAATAAATAAATAATAAAGAATGCCTTTCCCACCCTCTCCTGCCTGGCTCCTTCTGGGAATTTTTTTTTAATTTATTTTTGAGACAGGGTCTTTCTTGCTATGCGGTTCAGGCTGGCCTTGAACTCACTGTGTAGTTTAGACTGGCCTCAAACTCCAAGAGCTCATGGTGAAGGCCCAGGGTTCCATCTCCAGTACCACAAAATAAATAAATAATAAAGAATGCCTTTCCCACCCTCTCCTGCCTGGCTCCTTCTGGGAATTTTTTTTTAATTTATTTTTGAGACAGGGTCTTTCTTGCTATGCGGTTCAGGCTGGCCTTGAACTCACTGTGTAGTTTAGACTGGCCTCAAACTCCAAGCAATCCTCCTGCCTCAGCCTCCCAAGTGCTGGGATATCCAGAGTGGACCACCACGCCCAATTCTCTGGAGATTTTCCTCTGGCTGCGGCCTGAGCCCAGAGCCAAACCTCCGTGTACCCATCCCACCCCACCCCAGGCAGATGAAGCCATGGCCACCTACCGCACGTGCGTGGCGGATGCCAAGACGCAGAAACAGGAGCTGGAAGACACGAAGGTGACCGCGCTGAGGCAAATCCAGGAGGTCATCCGCCAGAGCGACCAGACCATCAAGTCGGTGGGTGGCCGTGGCGGAGGGTGTGGCGCCTGGCGAGGCGGCTGTGGGCCAGCGCCTGAGCCGTCTCCCTCCGGGCCCGCAGGCCACCATCTCCTACTACCAGATGATGCACATGCAGACAGCGCCGCTGCCCGTGCACTTCCAGATGCTGTGTGAGAGCAGCAAGCTGTACGACCCCGGCCAGCAGTACGCGTCCCACGTGCGACAGCTGCAGCGTGGCGAGGAGCCCGACGTGCGCTACGACTTTGAGCCACACGTGTCCGCCAACGCCTGGTAGGGCCGCGGGTCTCCGCCCCGAGCCCTGCTTCCCACCCACGCAGGCCGGCCGCGTCGTCACCTTTCACCCTCCCGGGTCCCCGGCCAGGTCCCCTGTCATACGGGCCCGGAAGAACAGCTTCAACGTTGGTGACACTTTGGGGACAGAGGCCACCAGCAGCAGCCCCTCAGAGGAAGGAGGATCCACTGAGGGGACATCTGCGAAGGACCACAGGGGTGAGCACTTGGCAGGGCTGCTGTGGGGGGCGCTGGCTCGCGGTAGCCCCCCAGCTCTGCACAGGAGACTCCCCTTTTCTGCTTCCCCAGGGGGACGGGGACACCAGGTGCACAAGTCCTGGCCCATCTCTGTCTCAGAGTCGGACGGCAGTCTGGACCCCAGCGCGGGGTCAGGTGAGATGGACCCCCGGCCCCTGCCCCTGTCCGGGGGAGGATGAATGTCCAGCCTGCCCCGGGGCTGGCTCACGCCGGACTCTGATGGCCCCATTTCCTGCCCAGGGGACTTTAAGAAGTTCCATCGGATGTCATCCAGTGGCACCGTGTCATCCAGTGAGGAGCTGGTGGACCAAGAAGGTGGAGCAAGGACAGCGGAGTTTGAACAGGGTGAGAAGACCTGCACCAGGCAGGAAAGGGAACGGGGGGCTTTGGACCTGGTCTCCATCTGCGTCTGTCCCTTTCCTGCCTGGGTGACACAGGCTCCTCCTCCTGCCTGCAGATGACATCAACAGCTTGGAACCCCAGCTGCCAGTGGCTGTGCCCAGTGGGCCCTTCCGCCACGTGGGGCTGTCCAAGGCGGCACGCACACATCGCCTCCGGAAGCTCCGCACACCAGCCAAGTGCCGGGAATGTAACAGTTACGTCTACTTCCAGGGCGCCGAGTGCGAGGAGGTGCGTGGGACACATGCCTGTCATCCCAGCACTCTGGGAGGCTGAGAGGCCAGAGGCTCACAAGTGTGAACCCAGCCTGGGCAACTTTACAAGGCTCTGTTCTCAAAATTTAAAAAATATATATATTTTTTTAAAGGGATGGGAATATAGCTCAATGTGAAGGTCCTAGATCGAATCCCTGGTACAGGAGGGAAGGGGGAGTACTAAACAGACGGAGTGGGAAGTTCTTTTAGGGTTGGGTCTCCTAGGGGAGAGGCTGGAGGTGAACAGGGTATCTAAGGTGGAGGAAGATGCAGCCAGTGCAAAGGCCCTGGGGGTGTGGCAGAAAGAACAAGAGGTACTGGTCTGTCCTGGTGCTACACTCCTGTAATCCCAGCACTCTGGAGGCTGAGGCAGGAGGATCACTGAGTTTGGTCAGCTTGGGCTACATAGTGAGACGCTGTCTCAAAGGAAAGAAGAAAATAAAGGGGCTGGAAGGAGGAGAGAGGAGTGAGCAGGGTCAGGGGTGCAAGAAAGTCCTGTTTTTATAAGGTACCAGGGGATTATGAGGGCTACAGAGGAGAGGGGAGGTGGATCTGGGCATCTGGGCGGGGCTGGGCAGGGCCGGGGCTCATTCCCTGCCGCCCCCAGTGCTGTCTGGCCTGCCACAAGAAGTGCCTGGAGACCCTGGCCATCCAGTGTGGCCACAAGAAGCTGCAGGGCCGCCTTCAGCTCTTCGGACAGGACTTCTGCCGGGCAACCTGCGGCACCCCAGATGGCATCCCGTTCATCGTGAAGAAGTGCCTGTGTGAGATCGAGCGGCGTGCGCTGCACACCAAGGTGCCCTGGACATCAGGGGCGGAGCAGGAGGGAACAGGGTTGGGGGTCGAGCAAGAGCCGGTGGGCAGAGTCTCACTGCCGCCTCGCAGGGGATCTACCGGGTCAACGGGGTGAAGACGCGAGTGGAGAAGCTGTGCCAGGCTTTTGAGACTGGCCAGGAGCTGGTGGAGCTGTCGCAGGCCTCGCCCCATGACATTAGCAATGTCCTCAAACTCTACCTGCGCCAGGTGAATTAAACGGAAGGTGGGGTTGCCTAGGGGGCGGGGCCAGTGCTGGGTTAATTGCAGACCCTCGAGTGGTTGGGCGTGGCCAGAAGCTGGGAGGGGCGTGGCCTTGCCCGGAGCAGGTCTGGCGGGGCTGGAGGCGTGGTCAGGTGCAGCAGCAGGCGGGAGTGGCTAGCGCTTTCTCCGAGGCCTGGCCGTGGGGGACACTGTTCTGAAGCTGGGGGCGCGGTCACATTCTGCAGTGGGTGGGGTCTAGTGGCCGAGGGTGGACAGAGCGCAGCAGAGACACGGCCTCCGCAGGTGTGCACTCCCCCTGGTCCAGTGTCACTGACCAGGTCATGTTCCATTGCCCTGCAGCTGCCGGAGCCCCTCATCTCCTTCCGCCTCTATCATGAGCTGGTGGGGCTGGCCAAGGACAGCCTGAAGGCGGAGGCCGAGGCCAAGGCTGCATCCCGGGGGGCCCGGCAGGATGGGTCTGAGAGCGAGGCGGCGGCCGTAGCCATGGCAGGACGCCTGCGGGAGCTGCTGCGGGACCTGCCACCAGAGAACCAGGCCACGCTGCAGTACCTGCTCCGGCACCTGCGCAGGTGAAGGCCACTGGGCAGGGTTCTCGGGTGACAGGGGTCCCACGGGGCCACTCACACATCCCGGGTCCTTCCTGCCCACAGGATCGTGGAGGTGGAACAAGATAACAAGATGACCCCTGGGAACTTAGGCATCGTGTTCGGGCCCACGCTGCTGCGGCCGCGGCCCACAGAGGCCACGGTCTCCTTGTCCTCGCTGGTAGACTACCCCCACCAGGCCCGTGTCATTGAGACCCTCATCATCCACTATGGCCTGGTCTTTGAGGAGGGGCCAGAAGAGGGACTCAGGGTACAGGTAGGTCTCACCCAGGGCTGTGCTGGAGAAGGATGGAGACAGACCTGTGAGAGCTTTGGTTTGGACAGGGCAGTAGGGAGATTGCTGGGAGGTGTCTTTCTAGCAAAGAACTGGATGAAATAGCCCTGGGTGTGCAAAGGTCCTGGGGGCACTGCACTGTCTGTTGGAGCTCACGACAGACCGTGCACAATCTGCATATGTCCACAACTGGGTCCATTGACCTGGCTGCTTGGCTCGGATTTCATGACTCTGGTGTGTGTTTCTAGAAGTTGCATTCAGAGCTGGGCATGGTTGTGCATGCCTGTAATCTCAACACCTGGGAGGCTGAGACAGGAGGACCATCAGGAATTCTAGGCCAGCCTGAGTTATATGGTGAATTCAAGGTCAGCCTGAACTACATAGGGACCTCCTGTCTCCAAAACCGAAAGGCCACAACAAAGAAGTTGTATTTAGTCCATTTCTTGAGCCCTTTCTCATATTTTCAAGTCCTCCTTTGTAGGGAGCGGGGAAGGGGACCTTATCAGGACCTTTGCTGTGGGTCCTGGCCTGTGAGCCGCCACAGCACAAGGTGAATTCAAGGACAGAAATGAGACTTGGAGCAGAAAAGCTGAGTCTTGGGTCCTGGTCAGTGCTGCTGATGGCAGCAAAGACAAAGGCCCCCCAGCAATCCAGTATTTATTGAATACAATTGTGGGAAGGTATTGTGGCGAGTATTACATGCTTGGACGGCATCTAGTGAATTACTGCCAAACACCAGGCAGGTGTTGGCACCAGACAGGGCTGTCAGGGAGTTGGCTCTGCTTATCTTGCTAGGAGAGAAGAAACTAGTACTGGGACCAGGAACAATTAGCAAGTAACCCACAAGGTCAATGAGCAGGATGGTTCAGGACAAAGGATTATAACTGGGGTCACACTGACCTCAGCTGCACGTAATTCAGCAGGGCCCTGCCCTGACCAGTACTTAGGCCTCAGTGACAGCCATAAGCAAAGGAGCAAAGCTAGCCCACCTCTGCTGGCTGACATGCCTGTTCCAAAGCATCGCCACTGTCACACACACACACACACTCTCAGGGGCCAGGCCTATGTGCCACAACCTCGGCAGCAGCCAGTTAATCCTTTGGGGTTTTGTTGTATTTCTTAACACCCACTCCCCCACAGGACGAGCCAAGCAGCCAGTGCTCTGAGGTGGTGGTGCCAGTGCCCTATCTGGAGGCCAGGGAGGCCGCCACCTACGCCCTGCAGGAGGAGGATGGAGGCCGAGGTGAGTGATGGCCGAGATGGGGCCCAGGACGCTGTGCAGCAAACGCAGAAGGTGGAGGGTGGCGTCCAAGAGACAGCGAGCCAGATGTAGTGGCACATGACTGTCATCCCAGCACTCTGGGAGGAGGATCTCAAATTTAAGCTCAGCTTGGGCAACTCAGCAACTTAGTGAGACCCTGTCTCAAAATAAAAAATAAATCTCTGGGGATGTAGCTCAGTGTGAAGGCTCTGGGTTCAATCCCCAGTACCATGGAGAAAAACAGACAGAGACCTGGAGTAGGGGCTGGGGTGGAGCCCAGAAATGTGACTGAGGCAGGGACAGACTTAGTTTTTGGTGGCCTGGGAACACCTCACTCATTCTCTGTCCATTTTCCCAGAGACCCGAGTGGCATCCAATGATTCTGATTCGGAGCTGGAGGAGGCCTCAGATTCCCTGTCCCTGTCAGACGCCAGCGCCCTGCATCGCCTCAGCTTCCTGGAGAAGCAGGAAGGGGAGGCCAGCCCAGAGGAGGGTCCCCGAAGCCGGAGTGGCAGCGAGGAGCAGCTGGGGTATGAGGACGAAGAGGCCCCGACCAGGCAGCTGTCCACGTACAACACCAATCAGTCTAACAACGTGGCGCTGGCCCGGCTGCCACGCATGAGGCTCCGTGCTGGGCACATCAAGGGAGGCAGCTGTGGGCACAGGCGGCCAGAGTTTGTCTGAGCTGGGGCAGCAGCGCACTGCTGGCTGCTCTCCTGCCCCGCCCCCCTGAGGGTCCTGCCTGCCCTGGGTCATTGCCAAGGGCGCTTGGGCTTGGACACACACACACACAGCTGAGGCGACACGGGCCGCCCCCAGCTCAGCCCAGTGGGGTCCCCGCCTTTGGGGAAGTGGCCTACTGCCATGAGGGCTGAGCAGCCCTGCCCAATGAGCACCTCCCCCAGGGCCCTGGCCTCCCTGAGACTCAGGCCCTCAGGGCCACCCACTGGAGCTCTAGCTCCAGGAAGCCTTCACCTTTCTGTAAAGCTGGACCTGGACACCTGGGTTTAGGTACACGATGGAGTCCCTCACAGGCCACCATGTCCTTCTTGCAAACCCAAACTTTTTTGCTTACAATAAACCTTTTAACCTGGTAGTGGGGGTTGGTTTTTTGTTTTTGTTTTGGTGGTACAGTGGATTGAACAGAGGACCTTTGCAATGAGCTACACCTCTATCTTTTAATTTTTATTTTATTTGTCTTAGTACCAGAGATTGAACTTGGGACCTTGTACTTGCAAGGCAGGCAGTAGCACCACTGAGCTAAATCCCCAGCCATTGTATACATTTATATATACATGTATGTTTTAGACAGGGTCTCCCTATGTAGTCTAGCCTGGCCTTGAACTCACCAAGCAGCATAGAATGGCTTTTAATTCATGACAACCCTCCTGCCTTAGCATCCCCAGTGCTGGGATTATAGGCGTGTGCCATTACACCGGTGTGTGATTTTTATTTTGTGACAGGGTCTAAGTTGCTCTGGCTGGGCTTAAATTTGCAATCGTCCTGACTCAGCCTCCCAGAGTGCTAGGATGTATACTCCTGCACCCAGCTAATCTGGTACTTTCTGTGAGGGGAGCAGCCTCAGAGAGGAGGGAGGGTGGGAGGATTCAGAGGTCCTGCAGCACTGTCCTCGCTGGGGAGGGTGGTGACCTCCGGCATGGTGGACACAGGCAACCCTTCTGTGTGGCTTACAATTCAGGGCCATGTAGTGGAATTGGCCATGTGACAGACATATTCTCCAGCTGCCAGGTCCCTAGCCAGCCCCGTGTTGGCTATCCAGAGCCGGGAATGTGGCCAGTGGGCTGCAGGAGTGCAAGATGCAACTGCCAGGTACTTTATTCATCTTGTGTGGGGTGCTGGTGATGCAACTGAGCCTTGTGCACTGAGCTCACAGCTATAGCCAGACCCCACTCTTAAGCCTTGGGAAGAGACAGCAGCCACCTGTTTTGAACAATTATTTGAAATGCTTAGGACATAACTAAGGCTCATCACTGAGCCTCCCTTTGAGGGTCTAAGTGGCCCAGGGTGGCCTCCAACTTGTCATTGTCCAGCCCCCGCCTCCCAAACAGCTTGATGACAGGCAAGCAGTAGCTTTTCATCTGAGGTGGGGAACCAGGCAGGACTGAGGCCACTCTCGGGAGCAGCAGGATACACAAAGGGCCCTACCCTTCCTGTTGAGCAGCACCAGAAAGCTGCAGAGAAACCTCAAGTTGCAAACCAAAAGCCTCAACAGCAACGGGAGACACTGACAGGCTTCAGAGGAAGAGGTGACACAGGTCACAGGGGCTCAGAACTGGCTTCAGAGGCGCCTTGGCCTAGAGCCAGCCCAGGTTTGCAGGTTGCCTGTGGTTGTCATTTTTGCTACAAGGCAGAGTTAAGAAACTGACAGGGACTGTGTTGTCTGTGAGCCCGAAAATATTTACTGACACTTTACCAAAAACTTGTTTGCCAGGTGTGGTCGTGGCACACACCTGTAATCCCAGTACTCAGGAGGCTGAATCAGGAGGATCACTGCAAGTTTGAGGCTAGCCTGGGCTAGTGTGTTCAAAGCCATTTTGAACTCTAGTAAGACTGTGTCTTAAAAACAAACAAACAAAATAATTTATTGACCTTCAAATACTCCTTATTTTTGTGGTACTGGAGACTGAACCCAGGGATGATCCACTAAGTTACATCCTGGCTCTTTTTAAAATTTTTTTGTGTTTTTTGAGACAGGTTCTCACTATATAGTCCAGGCTGGCCTCAAACTAGCCATCCTCCTGCCTCAGCCTCCCAGAGTACTGGGGTGACGGGCCTGTGACACCACACTCAGCTATATTTCTTTTCTAGTGCTAGGGATGGAAGCCAGGGCCTATGCTGAGCACACACCTCAGCACAGCCTCTGGTCCTGCAAAGCCGCTGTTACTTCCTAGCATTAGTTGGGGAATATGTGACATGGAAACCTCTTCCTCACCAGGATAGGCCAGCAAGAAGGGTGGCTGGGAACGCTACTTTTTCTTTTCCATTAAGTTTACTGGTGCATTTTAGGTGCTTTTTCTTTTGAAGGAGAGTGCTCAGGGAGTAGCCCAGAGTCTCACACATGCTAGATCGGCACTTGACACCCCACCCCTCTGAATGCCCTACACAGGACCAGTATGCCAGCACCAGTTCACAGGCAGCTCACCAAATGCTGTGACTTCACAGCCAGAGCCAGCTTCAGGTGAGGCTCAACACAGCTTGACCCTGGTGCCCAAGGAGCCTCCTGCACTATCACGCTAGGAGCCCTGAAGCTGGGGCCATAGTCCTGCCCACCTTGCTTGGACCATGCTCACTTCCTGGCCAATCTGGGAACCGGGAACTGGGAGGGCTTGTTGGGAAGGGGAAAGCCAGGGTCAGGGAGCTGACCCACAGCAAATTTCCTTCACTTTGGAAGACCTACTGGCACCTGAAGTCAAAGATGCTCACACCCAGCTTCAGAATCAAAGCAAACACAAAATGCCAAAGGGATCCTTCCTGGGCCTTGCCAGAGGTGACTCCAAATTCATGTATAAAATACTCAAAAACTGAGATTGTAAATTCACCCTAAGACCTCCCTGTGTATGTAGTCTGGGCTGGCCTTAAATTTGTGGTCCTCCTGCCTCAGCCTCTCAAGTGCTGGGATTACAGGTACATGCCACTGTGCCCAGCTCACCTTTACTTCTAAGTACCTCAGTGACACTGGGTGCCATCTCACGGCCATGTGCTGTCCCCACCGTCTACCTTCAGGACTTTTCATCTCCCCAGCTGATGTCTGTCCCCAGAAAACACTGATTCCCGTCCCCTCCCCAGCCTGGCACCACCGTCCTCCTTCCTGTCCCTGTGGATCTGACCACGCTGGGGCTTCCTGGGAGTGGGACCCTGTGGTGCTGGTTGTCCTGTGTCTGGCTTATTTTGACCAAGATGACTTTGCAAAACAGTGTTATATATTTGCAGAGAAAGAGGAGACTTGTCAAACCTGTAAGGTGTTCTATAAAACTCAACACACCTAAACAGACCCGGGGGAGAGAGGTTCCCAAGACAGCCCATGTGGCTGTGGCTCTCATGTAAACTCACTCATCTGCTTGGCAAAGCATCTGGACCACTGTCTGCCCAGGCCAGGCTGTCCCCAAGTCACCTGGTACCTGGAGTGGGTTCCAAACAGATCAAGGCCCCACTTGCAAATGCCCAAAGTTAAAAATGGTGTTTTGGGTCCTTGTTATTCTGCAGCCCTAGGGATTAAATCCACGGTTTATATGCTGAGCTACATCTCCTTATTTTTTATTCTGAGACAGCTTTTGCAAAATCGCTCAGGCTGAGCTTGAACTTGGCAGTCTTACTGCCTTAGCTTCCCAAACTGCTGGGATTACAGGGTTGTGCTACCATGCCCAGCTTTGATAGGTATTTAGAAAATATTTTTTAAAATCTGTTGGAAAGCCAGATGTGGTGGTACACATCTGTTATGCCAACACTCTGGAGGCTGAGGCAGGAGAACTGATGTGAGTTTGAGGCCAGCATGGGCTACAAGGTGAGTTTAAGGCCAGTTTGAACTACCAAGTGAGACTGTTTCAAAAAAACAAGCCGGGCGTGGTAGCACACGCCTGTAATCCCAGCACTCAGGAGGCTGAGGCAGGAGGATCACTGCTAGTTTGAGACCAGCCTGGACAACACAGTAAGTTCCAGAGCAGTCTGAAGTACATAGTGAGACCCTGTCTCAAAAAACAAAACAAAGCAAACAAACAAGGGGCTGGGGATTTAGCTCAGCGGTTCTACCACCTGCCTGGAAAGCACAAGGTCCTGAGTTTGATCCCCGGTACAAAAAAGGGGAGTGGGGGTGGGGGTGGGAATAGAACCAAGATGAATTATGTAAAGATGCAAATTTCCAATAATAAATGTCATTATATTGTATACCTCAAATGTACCAATAAATTTAAAAAACAAAACACAAGAAAAACAGAAAAATCAAAACAAAAAAACACAAGAGGATGGTAAATGGAAGACTAGCCTGGGCAATTCAGTGAGACATTGTCTCAAAGAATAAATAAGATCAAGTAACCAATGAGATGACAGGGAGAGGATGCGCACAGAACCCCTCCAATGATGTTATCTAAACAGCCAAAGAGGGAAACAGAAGTTGCTCAATCCCACCTGGACAGGTGTGACCAAAAAGCACCAGGTGCTGGAGGCTTAAGGACCCAAGCTTTGGCACAGCGGGGAAAATATGTGAGACAGTGCGGCCATGTGTGAACTGGCCTGGGGCTCAGGTGTTCCCTCCAGTCCGCAGTCACCTGTGACACCCCCAAGGGGTGTGCACCAGAGAACAAAAGACCTCTCTGTGCAAGAAACTGCACACATGTTCATGGCGATGCTGCTCAGCGGCTGAAAGCCGAAAAGAGCCACACAAGACTTAGGAACAGAAACACACATGGTGCTTCCAGCCCCCGACTGGGCTAGGGCAGGAGTGAGGCTGTGACGTGGCCTGCTGAGACACGCTAGTGGCTGCCTGGGTACCAGGGGGTGAGGAGGCAATGGATGACTGCTCATGGGGACGGGGGCTTCCTGCTGATGATAGGATATTCTGGATTTGAAGACAAATAAGGGCTGCGCATCTTATGAGCTGATTAAAATCCACTGACTAGGCAGAGGGTGTGGCTCAGGGGTGAGTGCCTTCCTGGTGTGTCAGGCCTTGGTTTGATCCCCAGAATCAAAACAAAACCGTTAGCTGGGTGTGGTGGTGCACACCTGTAATCCCAGCACTCCTAAGGCTGAGGCAGGAGGATCACCGAGTTCAAAACCAGCCTGGGCTACACAGTGTGTTCCAGGTCAGTCTCAACTACATAGTGAGACCCTGTCTCAAAACAAAAACAAACAAAAAAACAAAACTGCTACCCCATGCAGACAAAAGCCTCTGAAACAAGATACTAGAAGGAAGCAGACAGACCTGGAAAGGGCAGATCAGCATGCTCCTGAAGGGGACCCAGCACAGACCCACCAGGAGCCACAGGAGCAGGGAAGGGTGGCGGGGCATCCACCTACAAACCAGGTCCCACCAGCTGACCCTGAGGCTCAGGGCAAGGCCACCCCGTGGAAAGCCAGGACTCAGCCTTGGTGTTCCAGACAAGTTTATTTTATTCAAAATAGCCGTAATTTTTAGAACACGCAATGCTCTATTCAACTCAGAACTCGATCAAGCTGTGACCTTGTACCCTGCTGACTACAATGTGTGTGCAGGGACAGAGTCACAGTGCAGGAGGCTGGGTGGGGACAGGCCACAGGCGCACATGGGCAGCCCACGCCAGGGACCATGAGTAGAACAGGCAGCGGCATGTCAGGGCCACGGGGAGAGGAAGCCCTGTTAGAGCCAGGCTGCCCGAGCACGAGGACTCACACAGCTGCCCCCAAGTGGCCTCCTCGGACAGCACCATGTCCTTTCTGAGGCCTCAGCCAGATGCAGCCACTGAAATCTTCATCCAGATAAGGTAAACCGAGGCAGTGGCTGCTGTCCTGGGGTGTCCAGAGGTGTAGCAGCAAGGAGGCTGCGGCAGTCTCCACAGGAGACAAACGAGACCACGTCCATCTATCCATCTGCAGGGGCTGCTAGAAGGGAGGCGACAGCCATGTGAGCCAGGCCGACCTGGACAGGACAGGGATGCACTGGGGTCAGGTAGGACCTGACCTCCAAGGAGGCTAAAGCCCAACCATGGCCAAGACACAGGGGGCTTCGGCAGCAGGGGCCGTCTGTCCATCCATTTCTCTCACCCGCTTACTCCATGGCTACTGCACCAGCCGGTAAGTGATGTACCTGCCTGCCGTCTCGCTGGGCCTGATGATTTTCACCACCTGCAGAGCCATGGGACAGGGCTGGGGCTAAGCAGCAGGCTGCCAAAGGCCAGCTGGGAAGCCCAGGGCCATTCTCTTTGCTGGGCCCCAGTGGCCCTGGCTTTAAAGGGAGTGGGGGTGTGGTCCTGAGGACCCTTCAGACCTGGGCTCCTGCAGGGCTGTTGGGAGGGATGAAGGGCAGGCCTCAAGTGGGCAGGTGCAGGGGTTCCCCAGGGGCCACTCACCTGTCCTCGCTTTATCCCAAAGTAGCGGGCCACAGGGTCCCCTGCCTGGATGCGGGGCAACTGGTTCTCCCGGAGTTTACTGGGCAGTGGTCAGGGAAAAGGCTGGCTGGCTCTTGGGGCAGGAATTCAAGGAGCCCAGAGGGAGAGGGACAGGACAGGGGAAGGAGTTGGGCAGTCCAGGGGCCTGAAAGGATACTATCGGGCCAGCAGCTCCGTCACCTCCTCCTTGGTCATGACAACGTGCTCTGGGACCAGCTGCTGAGATGAACACACCAATCAGAATTCACAGATCCTCAGGTGACCTCTGACAGACAGGCTGGGCAACAATTTCCACCTGGTGCTCGGGGACGTCAGCAGAACCCTGGGTGAGCCCCCGCCCTGACCACATGCAGGGGAGGCTGGGCCCACACAGCAACCAGCTCCAACTCACCACCCACAGGAACCCCAGCCTGGGGCCCTCTCCCTCCCTTTGCCCATCACAGGTCCCACCTCGTGCTCCGTGATGTTGATCAGCAGCTCCTGCTGCAAAAACTGCTCTAGGATGTACTTGGGCGCCATGTCCACCAGAGACTGTAGGGGACACAGGCACCATATGGTTTGGGCAGCTGCACCTCCACACACATCCCAGCACACATCAGAAAGGAAGCATCTGGCTTGCATATCCTCCACCCGTCACCTGGTCCTCAGGATTTCCAAGGCCTCATGTCAGAGCTGGCATGGGTCGCGGCCCACATGGAGCTTCAGCACCCGCCATCTGCCAGAGACCCTCCCCATAAAGCGGCACCACTGCACATGACCACAGACCCCGCTGCCTGGGCTGGCCAGGGACAGGACAGCTCTCCACCCTCCATCCTCACAAGTCCGCAAACCCACAACAGCTTAGCTCCGTCCAAATGACAGGGGGAAAATAGTGATATATGCCCAGGGACCCCGGTCCTGTCTGGCCACCAGGCAAAGGGACAGGAACCTGGGCTAAGAGCCAATCATTCCAGGCAGGACAGTCTGAGTTCCCAAAGCTGTGTCAGGACCTGAGGCTGGGGAAGATAACAGCGTGGCACAGTGGGCCCGAGGGGGGAGCAGAGGAAGCGAGGAAGAGAGGGCACCCACCTGCTTGGCAGAAGGTGTCATGCCCTGCTGCACCACGATGAGCGCGCGGGTGATGTTCTCTTCCTGCATGCGCTGGCAGTACACCTTGATGGTCTTGATGCCCACCTTGGGCTCCTCTGAGGACAGACGTGTGCTGACACTGACCAGAAGTCCCGCCCCACCGCTGCATCAGGGGCTAGCCTAGAGCCTTCTGGGGCCTCAGTGTCCCTGCTCAGACCCAAGCAGCAGGATCCCAGGATAGGGCTGGCTGCCTCAACAGCACCAGGAGAGAGTCAGAGGACCCCCCAGGAGGCCCAGTGCAACCTGGGGACCCATTCCTAGAGGATGGGGTTGGTGCCCCAAGAGGTGGGGCTTGGGAGACACTGGGGAAATAAAGCTGGCTGACCGCCAGGAGGCAGAACACCTGGGCTAGGGGACTCAGAGCACAGGAGCTGGCACAGGCTCCTGCAGGGATGGCCGCTCTGCCTCAGCCTCCTGTCCCAACCACCTGGGCCACCAAATATGCTGAAGCCCAGACTCCCAGGACCTCAGAATGTGAGTGCATTTGAGGCAATTAAGAGGCCAGCCTGGCCCACAAAATGGGCTTGAGGCCAGCCTAAACTCACATTGAGACCCTGCCTCAACAAATTAAAATAAACGAAGTGATTAAGGGGCCAGGCCTGGTAATGTACACCTCTCATCCCAGCTACTCATAAGGCTGAGGCAGGAGGATCACAAGTTTAGTGCCAGCCTGGACAAATTAGGGAGACCTCATCTCAAAAATATAAGTAAAAAGTGCTTGGGATAGAGCTCAGTGGAGAGCACTTGCCTAGCTTGAGCAAATCATGGATGCGATCCCCAGTACAAGGAAAAAAACCAACAACAAAAAAACAAGGTACAATGAGGTCATTAGGGTGACAACTATGGGAAAACACAGGGAGAAGGTACTCTTTCCTACCCAAGGGGAGGGCCTCAGAAAGACACAGCCCTGATGACACCCTGGCCTTGGATTTCTCACCTCCAGAACTGTGAGAAATAGATGTCAGCGTTTGAAGGTGCCTATCTGACAATTTGTACCAACAGCCTAAGCGGGCTGGCACAGGGGGGGAGCTCAATCCTGTCCTGTCAGGAGCAGTGACACCTGCAACGTCCCCTAGAGGCCAGGGAGCAAGGTGAGACCTCTGACCCTGGGGAGGCTCCAAAGCCAGGAGAGGAGATGGCTCTACAGGGAAGCAGGTAATCAGCACCAGGCTTTCTGATAAACATCTCACACACAGGGGACGCTTACTCTAGAAGAGCCACCTGGACCAGCCACCATGTTATTTTTGGCCCACATCCCAGAGTCTTGGTGCTGGCTGGGTCTTCAAAGTGCTGTCAACATCCCTGCCAACAACCTTCCAGGGCTTTGGAACCTGGCTGGGGGAGGGGCAGACACCTAGGAGCAGCCTCAGGGAGGAGGCAGGACAGGAGGGCAGGGGTCCCAAGGGCACCCGGTGTTTCCTGGAAAAAGTACCCAAAGTGGGTTTTAAAAAATAATATCAGTGCACACTTGTCAGGCAGACCGAGGAGGGAAATCAGTGGGAAATGGGCCAGCCGGGAAACCTATCATACCTCTGAGGGAGACTCAGGGCAGACTCACCCAGGCTGCATGGGGGAAGCAGAGGAAGGTAGGCCCATACGACACTCAGGGCTGGCCAGCAGGGGAAGATGAGGACTGAGGGGAGGAGACTGCCAACGGGTGAGGTACCTAAGCCACACCAGAGCTGACACCACAGAACTATGACCTCTGGGGAACACCATGTGGCCAAAGGCCAGGACAGGCCCTCACCTGGAAAGAAGACAAACATCTGGTCTGTAGGGTCATCGTTGTGAGCCACCAGCACAGTGAGGTCAGTGCGCCGTGGACGCCCTTCACTCGGCTTGTCCCCAAACTGGGCTTTGAACTCCTCCAATGTCTGATCCAATTCATCCTGGGTCACCAGGTAGCCACGGTCATGGCACAACTGCAGAGAGAAACAGCTAGGTGAACCCAGGGCACAGAACCTCAGCAAGATAAGAGCTCAGCCAGGCATGGTTGTTCAGGGCTGTAATCCCAGTACTCTGGGAGGCTGAAGCACAAAGATTATAAGTTAAGAGTCTCACTTAGGCAGCTTAGCTAAACCATCTGAAAAATAAGAAATAAAATACAAATATGGATGTAGCTCACTCACCCTGAAGGCCCTAGGCTCGATACCTAGTACTGAAAACAAAGTGGCATGGACCTGTCATCCCTGCTAGTCAGGAGTCTAAGGCAGCTGAAAACTAAATTCATATCCCACCTGGGCAACACAGCAAGATCCTATCTCAAAATAAAAACCACAGGCCGGGAGTGGTGGAGGCTGAGGCCGGAGGATTACTGTGAGTTCAAGAGACCAGCCTGGGCTATCTAGAGAGTTCCAGGTCAGTCTCAACTACACAGTGAGACCCTGTCTCAACAAACAAAAAACAACAACAACAAACCCCACAAAGAACATATTAAGTAATGAATATAACTGTACTGTCTACCTAGAATGTACCAATAAATTCAATTTTAAAAAAAAGAACATATTGAGTCACGTCTGAAAAATAAGAAATAAAATACAAATATGGATGTAGCTCACTCACCCTGAAGGCCCTAGGCTCGATACCTAGTACTGAAAACAAAGTGGCATGGACCTGTCATCCCTGCTAGTCAGGAGTCTAAGGCAGCTGAAAACTAAATTCATATCCCACCTGGGCAACACAGCAAGATCCTATCTCAAAATAAAAACCACAGGCCGGGAGTGGTGGAGGCTGAGGCCGGAGGATTACTGTGAGTTCAAGAGACCAGCCTGGGCTATCTAGAGAGTTCCAGGTCAGTCTCAACTACACAGTGAGACCCTGTCTCAACAAACAAAAAACAACAACAACAAACCCCACAAAGAACATATTAAGTAATGAATATAACTGTACTGTCTACCTAGAATGTACCAATAAATTCAATTTTTAAAAAAAGAACGTATTGAGTCACGTGACTGAGCCACTGTCCCCCTACTGTCCCCACAGTCACCCCATAGAATAAGGCCAACACAGTCAGTCCCGGTGGCTCACAAGGACTCGCAGGGGTCTGGATGCGGCTAAACCTACACAGTCCTTCCTTCAACAGCTTTACAGACTCGCCTCAAAGACAGGGACCAAACAGGTGTGATCTCACACTTATGGTGTTGCGGACAGATAATCAGGCTACAGGGGATTTCATTCACAAAAGGGGCAGGGAGGCAAGGTTAAGAAAAGGCTCTGACCTCTTCTTCCTTCACCAGGTCTTTTTTGAGGGGTTCACCTACTCAGAAACCCTGATTTTTATTTATTTATTTATTTTAATGTTGATGCAGGGTCTTGCTAACTTGCTGAGACTGGGCTCAAACCTGAGATCCTCTTGCTTCAGCCTCCCAGACTGCTGAGATTACAGGTGTGTGCTACCACGCCTGGCTTTCTTTTCTTTTTTTTTCCCTTGCTGCGGTTGCAACTCCGGGTGCACGCTAGACAAGTGCTTACCACTGAGTTCCACCGGCAGCCTAAGAACTCTGATTTTTTTTCTCTCTCTCTTTTCTTTTCTTTTCCTGAAACAATCTCCCTAGGCAGTTAGGCCTAGCCTTGAAATCACTGTGCCCATGCTGGCCTCGAATTTATGGCGAATCTCCTGCCTCAGCCTCCCGAATGCGGGACTGACAGGGGTGCGCTACTATGCCCCCTGACGAGCCCCAATTTCGTAGGCAAGGCCCAGGACGACTGGCCCTCAGAATTGGCCTGGTTTCCGCACCATCAACACAGCCGGACCCATACTCGGAGAAACCGTCTAAACCCCCGCCTCGAAGACGCCACCTTCCCCAGGCTCAGGAAGGAGCAAGACGCGCAGCCGGACAGAGATCGCCAAGGGGTTCTCTGGAGGATGTGCCCGCTCCTTGTCCCCGCGTGCCCGGTCTTTCTTTTGGGGGCAGAACCCCCAAGCCGGGGAGGCTCTGGAGAGACGAAGGGCTGAAGCTGAGCAGGCAGAGAAACGGCGCGGACCACGCCAGACCCTGCGGCAGCCCGGAAGAGAGATGCAGGGGAAGAGAGGGACCAAAAGGGGCGCCCAGGGGCGAAGCGGCGCCGCCCTCCCGCCCACGCCGCGCGCACACTCGAGACCCTCGGAGTCCGGCTTCGGCCGCCCGCCTCTCAGTCACCACAGGACCAACGCCGGGGACCGGAAGGTCTGGGGACCCCGCATGGGCCGCAGTTCACGGCCGCTTAACAAGGTTCCACGCGCTACTTACTTGCATGATGGTCTTGCGGATTTTCCAGAGTCGATACGTCTCCTCCTCGTCGTCCATGGCGTCGCTGCTCGCACAACCCCACGCATGCGCCACTCAGAACCTGTGCTCACTGCGCCTGCGTAGAAGTGCAACTCAGGCCCCCTTTACCCCGCCCCGCCTAGGGCTGTCCTAGGCAAACTCCTGAATACAGCTACGCCCGGGATCTGCAGCGCCGAAGACAGCCTAAATTTTCCGAAAGCGGCGGTTAGTCGCGCGTCTAGTCAATTCTCGCGTGATTTTGCTGCAAGGCCTCTCGGGAGTGGTAGTTACTGTTCAATTTTGGCTTCCTTGGGGCAATTTGAAAATCCCACGAAGCCGGGAGGGGCAGCGCATACTATAATCCCAGTGCTTGGGAAGCCTGAACTACATAGCGAGGCCCTGTCTCAAAACAGAACAGAAAAAGCCCCCAAATTCCGGGAGGAATGGGCCTGGAAACTGAGGCCCAAGCAGGGACACGGGTCATTTTGCTCCTAGGTCAGGAAGCCTAGTAGGCTGTCCATGTGTATTTTTTCTCAGACTTTTTTTTTTTGGTACTGGAGATCAAACTCGGGACCTTGAGCTTGTGAGGCAGGCACGGTGCCACTGAGCTAAATCCCAGGAGGCCCCTGTCTAACGTGTATTTTTGCATCAGGCTTTCAAGTGGAGTTTTCTTGGGGTTCTGTGTGAGGTCCAAGTTCCACCCCTAGCCTCAGTTTTCCCTTCTTCTTCTTTTTTTTTTTTTTTTTTTCCGGACCGAGGATCAAATTGAGGACCTTGCACTTGCAAGACAGGCAGTGGCGCCACTGAGCTAAATTCCTGGCCCCTCAGTTTTCCCTTTTGTGTGATGTTATAATAAAATGTAAGCTGTGTGTGATGGCCCATGCCTGTACTGTCAGCACTCCAGATGGCTGAAGCAGGAGAATCTCAAGTTGGAGCCCAGCCTGGCAATTTAGTAACTTAGCAAGACCCTGTCTCAAAACAAAACAAAACTGAGGATGTAGACTATTGGACGTGAGTTTGCTCAGTAGCCCACATTACGTTTCTCAAGATTCGGTGTGTAATTTCAGTTTGCTTTTACCCTCTTTTTCTCTTGGGCCCAAGTTCACTCTGCAGAGCTGGCTTCTCCCATTTCATTTACCCTGCACTTTTCAAATAAATGTTTGACACCATTAAATAAAAAAACAAAGGCTGGGGATTCGATTTAGCTCAGTGGCGCCGTGCCAGCCTTGCAGGCACAAGGTCCTGAATTTCATCCCTGGTACCAGAGGGGGGAAAAGAAAAAACTGGGCTGGGGATTTAGTTCAGTGGTTTTGCCGTCTGCCTCACAAGCGTAAGAACCCAAGTTTGATCCCCCATACCAAAAAGAAAGAAAGAAAAACTGGGGATGTATTTCAGTGTGAGTGCTCTGGGTTCAATCCCCAGTAGTGCAAAACTAAATAGGTAAATTTTAAAAGTTGGGTTTTTTTTTTTGTTTGTATGTTTCTATGTTTCTCGAGACAGGGTCTCAAGCTGGCCTTAAAACTCACTGTACAGCCCAGGCTAGCCTCGAACTCATGGCAACCCTCCTACCTCAGTTTCCAAGTGACATGTGACACCACACCAGGCAAAGTCTCTATTTTAAGGGCTGAACTGAGCACCTTGGGAAGAGCCTGGTACAGCTCTAGGCGCTTATAAAATACTTGTCCTCTGCCCTGTCCTGTGAGCCCCATCCAGGCCTGTTTTGCCCTCTGCATGCTTAATCCAATCACTGAAATGAGTTATGCAAAAGCGAATTTACTCAAGAAGCAGCCAAACCTGAGGAGGTGGGAGCCCCAAGACCCAAATCTGCCTACCTCCCAAGGATCAGGCTTGTGGCATTCACAGGATGAAGAGGCAGGGTGGTCACAGGAGAAGTTAAGGTGAAATGAGGGGTGGTCTGTGACTGCATGATCAGATTTAGCGAGATTTGTTTCAAAATAAAATGAAAAAGAAAAAAAAGCAGGTTCTTCCTGCAGCCACTGTGATGTTTGGAGCTGTGGGGATGGGAGCTAACCATCAGGAACCACAGCAGAAGCAAAGATCAGGGAGGGGCTGGGGAGCATTTTGGCTAGTGGCTGTGTCTGGACTGTAGTCTGTTTTGTTTTGTTTTTTGAGACAAGCTCTCTCTATGAGACTCAGGCTGGCTTTGAACTCATCATGAGGCCCAGACAGGCACTGAACTCTCGGTGACCCTCCTGACTCAGCCTCCTGATTGCTAGGATTACAAGTGGGTGCCACCACGCCTCGCCTGTGTCTTGTCTTTCTGTTCTTTCGGTGCAGGGAGGGAAGGAGGGAAGAAGTAGGGGGCAGGGAAGGAGAACTGTGGTGTCCTGACCTCAAGCTATTGGGACAGGAGGAGAGTTTAGGAGAGTTGCAAGGTTCTGAGGAGATGGACTTATGGGCATCCCTGGTGCTGAGTGTGGTAAGAGTCAGATCCTGAAGATTTCCAGAGCACAGCAGTCGGGGGCCTGAGCCCAGCCGGGCCAGGTTCAGAGCCTAAGAGCAGTGGTGGTGAACCTGTTAGAGCTTTCAGTGATACAAACAGTGCACCACATACAGCCATAGGTTCACCACCAATGGCATAGAGCCTCCGTCAGGACCCTAGAGAAGGACCCCGGCACCACTGTGTGATGGCAAGCACAGGGCTTACCCTCTCGGTGCCTTGGTGACTTACTCTCTCCCTGCCTTGTGACACAGAGAACAGAGTACCACCTGCTTTTCTGGGACCTAGCTAACAATCCAAGCTTGCTCTGAATGCCCAAGTGGCATAATGTTCCTGGAATAGACGCCAGGGCAGGAGGCTGCCAGGTGCTCTGGAACCAGGTGGGGAAGGTGTCTGGAGGTGAGGGAGGAGGGAGGCATCGCCTGCTACCTGGGTACCAGGTCAGACAAGGCCTGAAGACCAAACCGGGGCCCCTCTGGAGGACCAGGCCAAGTGAATGGCATTGACACGTAGGAGAGACTCAGACTGGGGTTGGACTTTGAGCCTCCTGCTGTAGTCTCCCAGAGTGCTGGGATGACCGTGTGCACCATCAAATAGGGCTCCTTTTAAAATGTTTATCTTCAGTCTTGCTAAGTTGCCCAGGCTGTCCTCAAACTGGAGATCCTTCTGCCTCGGCCTCTGAGTAGCCAGAACAGGTGTGAGCCACTGCACCTGGCTAGGAGGTGGATTTTAAGATGGTAGCAGATGGGCAATGGGGCTGAGCAGTGGAACCTGAGCCAAAGTGACAGGCAGCCTGGGAAGGCAGAGGTGGGAGGGCTGCGAGCGTGTGGCAATGGATCAGAAGTGGCTGTCGTGCTGTTCCTCACGCCAGTGAAGGCGGGGCAGAGGCGTTGGGGTGGAGAGGAGTAGGCAGTCACGGGTCGTGGGACCCATGGACGCTGGCAGGGCCCAGTCACCCTACTGCCAATGGTTCAGGGTCCGGCTGACCTTAGGCCTCAGCAGCAGGTATAAGGACACAGCCTGCTGCCTCACAGCCACCACACCCACCGCCTGGCAGAGCCTCGGGGTGAGAAATCAGGCCATGATCCACACACAGGGCGGGTTAACAATGCCAGGTGGAAAAGTGGCCAATCGGAAAGTGGCTCAGTTACTTTGCTTCTTGCTGAGATTAAATGCCCAACACCCAAAGTTGAAGGAGGAAAGGTTTGTTTCAGCTCACAGTTTACAGAGGTTTCCAGTCCATAGTCAGCTGGCTCCAAGAGACAGTGGTGTGGCAGAGGGGCGTCACAGAGGAGAAATAGTCCACGGCAAAGCAGGGCAGGCAAAATGGCAGGCAACAGCAGAAGCGGCAACAGCAAGCCTTCCTCTCTCCCTTTCATCCCATCCAGGGTGTACACCCTTCGATTGGTGCTGCCCATACCCAAGGTGGGGCACTCTTAGTCCCAGTATCACACAACCCAGATCTAGCCACCTCCAAAAAGTTCTACCTAAGGCCCCACGAGGTTCTGGGGAGACAACTAGATGTAAGCCACCACAGAAAGCATTCTGACATCTCTTCAAACAGGGTTCCTCTAAGACCCAGCAGACCTACCCCAGGTAACTAAAAACATAGGGTCACAGAAAAACTCATACAGTGCTTTGATAGTGAGACCTAGGCTACCGGGTGAATTCAACGCCAGTCTGAACTACATAGCAAGACCCTGTCTCAAAAGACAAGATAAAAAACAAACAAAAACCTCATACAGCACCGCAAAATCATAAGGTAAAAACCACCATTCTCTATCAACTGATGAATGGGCACTCACAGCAAGGTCCGTCCTCAGGCTGGAATATTACTCAGCCAGGAGGAGTGAGGCTGGACACAGTGTGGACAGACCTTGAGGATGTGTTTGGCAAGAGATGTTAGACGTAGAAGGACACACAGTGTAGTACTCTGTAGATAGGAAACAAGTGGACTTGTGGGGGCTGAGGCTGGGGAGGCGAGGAAAGACTGCTATGGAGATGGACAGGGCTTCTTTTGAAGGTGATGGAAAATTCAGAATTAGAAGTGATAGTTGTAGGCTGGGCGTGGTGGTGCAAGCCTGTAATCCCAGCACTCGGGAGGCTGAGGCAGGAAGAGCGCTGTGAGTTCAAGACCAGCCTGGACTACATAGTGAGTTCCAGGTCAGTCTCAACTACATAGTGAGACCCTGTCTCAAAAAACAAACAAAAAAACAAAAACAAAAACAAAGTGATAGTTGTGCAACATTGTGAATATACTAAAAATGCTGCATTGTACACTTTGATAAAGCAAAAATAATTAATTTATATTATGTATAATACATTTTATCTTAATGTCAGAAACTACTTTTTGTCAAATGTGGTGGCACATGTCATTCTAGAACTCTGGAGGCTGAGGCAGGAAGATTGCCTGAATTCAAGGCCAGGCTAGGTTACAGAGTGAGACTCTGTCTCAAATAAGAAAATAAAGCCGGGAGTGGTATTGCACACCTGTAATCACAGCACTTGGGAGGCTGAGGCAGGAAGATTGCTGTGAGTTTGAGACCAGCCTGGACTACATCATGAGTTCCAGGTCCGTCTCAACTACATAGTGAGACCCTCTAAAAAAAAAAAAAAACCAAAAAAAAAGAGAGAGAAAGTCCCCCACCCCACCCCAGTGCTGCCATCTTGTGGGAATGAAACCAGTGCCTGACTTGGAACAGCCACTGCTGAGGTCTCTGGCCTGTGTCGCTTCCAAGAATCAACAGGCATGGGGAATGTCTTTGTGAACCTATTCAAGGTCCTTTTTGGCAAAAAAAGAAACGCGCATTGCCATGGCGAGTCTGGTGATTCTGTGTAAACTGAAGTTTGGTGAGATTGTGGCCACCGTCCCTACCAGAGGTTTCAACATGGAGACCGTCGAATGTAGGAACAGGAGCTTTACCGTGCGGGGTGTGTGTGGCCAGGACAAGGCCCGGCCAGTGTGGCGCCACTGCTTCCAGACACCCCAGGCTTGATCTCCGTGGTGGACAGCAGTGACAGAGAGCGCGTGCTTCCGGACGCTGGGTTGCCGTCCTTGTGTTTGCCAACAAGCAGGGCCTCCCCACGCGATGAGTGCAGCTGCAATCACAGACGAGCTGGGGCTGGACTCTTTACGTCCTTTCAGGCCACCTGTGCCACTAATAGGGATGGGCTCTGTGGAGGGCCGGACTGGCTGTCCTGTCTCCAAAACCGGAAGTGACCCAGAACCCCCTCCCCTCACTTCCTCCTCTCCGCCCTCCGCTTTCCTCCCACGTGGCGACTCCTGGTCCTGAGTGCCACAAGCTGTGTCCATGGGTTGGGCAGTGTGCACGCACCGTGCTGTACATGTGCAGGCACAGTCTGCAGCCCGGTTTTTATTTAATCGAAATAGTTCCCATTCCCACTGAAGCAGTTTCTGGTACTCCTATGCAATATTACTCAGCTTTTTTTATTGAAAAAAAAAATCAACTCACTGTCAATACTGAGAAGGGATTTGGGTGCATGGCCACCTGGCCTCCGGGAGCTACTGGTGTCAGGACCCATTTGGTTTTTAAGCCAAACTCAGTGCATTTTTTTTTTTTTTGTACCGCAGATCGAACTCAGGACCTTGCTCTTGTAAGGCAGGCGGCGGAACCACTGAGCTAAATTCCCGGCCCACTCAGTGAATTTTTATTCATTGATTCATTGATATGAGGAATCGAACTCAGGACCTTGCACATGCCAGGCAGGTGCGGAACCACTGAGCTGGCCCGAGTTCAGTGTATCTTTTAAAAATAGTTAAAAATGACAAGATAAGGAGAACACTTGAACACACAGAAAGGGGGCTATGCCTCATGCAGGTTTGGCAGTTTGGGCAGAACACAAAACAACAGGTTGTTCCTCTGGCAACGCAAGAGATGCGACGAACAACCACATCCACTGCGTGGTCACAGCAGAGACCCGTGGCTCTCCTGGCTTTGGGTCACCTGCAGTCCATAGCATTATGTTTGTACTTAGGCTCACACAGTCACCTTGGAGTGCGCTGGGAGGGCCATGACAGGGTGCAGGGACTGGCCTCACCCTCGCCTTGGTCAGTGTGCAGCGAGAGTGGCAGCCCCTGTTCACAGTGCCCACTCAGACACCTTGGCCGAAGCCTGGGTCTCACCAGCAGGAGTGCACGCAAGCTGGGTGGTGCACTCCAGACCATCCCAGAGCAGGCAGCGGAACCACTGAGCTAGATCCCCGGCTCCATACTCTTTTATTTTTTATATTGATAAACACCAAAGAAGCCGGAGCTGTTAAATGTATCTTTGGAAAACTTCAGAACTGGTCTGTTTGGTGTTGTGGAACCTCTTACTGCTTTCATACACGATTAATAATCAACCTTTTCTTTTTTTCTTCTGGTACTGGGGATCGAACTCAGGACCTTGCACTTATGAGGCAGGTGGCTGCACCACTGAGCTAAATCCCCGGCCCCCAATAATCAACCGTTTTGTATACTTGTTTTCAGTTTTCATTTCAACAAGCACTGTAATTATAGCTATTAAAGTCACTCAACTGGCCAGGGATTTAGCTCAGTGGTTCTGCCGCCTGCTTCGCAAGCGCAAGGTCCCGAGCTCAACCCCTGATACCAAAGGTAAAAAAAAAAAGTCTCTTAACTACTGAAAAAAAAAAAGGTTTTTTTTTTTTACCCCAGAATCAAAACTTTATTGAAGCCGGGCATGATGGCACATGGCTGTAATCCCAGTACTCAGGAGACTGAGGCAGGAGGATCACTGTGAGTTCAAGACCATCTTGGGCTACACAGTGAGTTCCAGGTCAGTCTCAACTACATAGTGAGACCCTGTCTCAAAAAACAAAAAACAAAAACAAACAAAAAAGAGAAAACTTTATTGAAAACACAACAGTTGGGCATGAGGGAACGTGCCTCTAATCCTAGCACTCAGGAGCCGGGGGCAGGAGGACCACGGTGAGTTGAGGCTAGCCTGGCTTGAGTACTTTGGTTTGGGCAGGGCCTTGCCTCCTGTTCCTGGCAATAGAGCCAAAACACCCTACACAAAGAGCCACTGTTCCAAACAGGCTGAAGGCTGTGGGTGTCTTGCAACAGCATAAACATTTTACATTACAAAGTGAGAACTGGGGCTTTGAACAAGACTTTTTTTTTTTTTTTCTTCAGTGAAGCCAAGGCCTTTGCCCTAAACTACATTCCCAGCCCTTTTAAATTTTTTTTAATAGTGACAAAGTTTATTTGAAAAAATAACAGAGAAGGGTGAGGGAGAAACTGGCTCTACAGGGTGATTTTGGGCCGAGTAGAAGAGAAAAAAACAAAAGTACACCCTGGAGGAAACAGGGCAAGTTACTGCAAGGAGAGTCATGATAGCCTTATTTTTTGTTTTGAAACAGGGTCTCACTAATTCCCTGAGTTGCCCAGGATGGACTTGTGGTCCTCCTTGCCTCAGCCTCCTGAGTAGCTGAGAGGACAGGTGTACACTATCACCCCTGGCTACAAATTGGTCTTCAAAAAGAAAACATCATTTGAGCATGGTGGTGCACGCCTATAATCCCAGCACTTGAGAGGCTGAGGCAGGAGGATTGTCGTGAGTTTGAGGCCAGCCTGGGCTACATAGTGAGTTCAAGGCCAGCCTGAATATCACTGGGAGACCCTGTCTCAAAACAACAACAACCACAACAAAATAATAATAAAAAGATGAAATCAAGCTGAGCACGGTGGCACGTGCCTAAAATCCCAGGTATTTGGAGGCTGATGCAGAAGGACTGGAAGTTTGAGTCCAGTTTGGGCAATTTATTGAGACCTTGTCTCAAAATAAAACAATATAAAAACAGGTGGGATGTAGCTCAGTGACAAGGCCCTGGTTTCCATCTCTAGTCCCAAAAAAGAAATGGAGACATAGTGGGCACTGTGGGCCCCTCCCTGAGATGCCCCACAATTCCACTTCCCCACTGGGAATGGGGTTCACTGGGGAAGAAGCTGAGAAAGGGCAGGGAACCTGTGAAGCCCCAGCCTCCACGGCCACTTCTGCCCACGTCACAACCTACTGTGCGCCACAGGTGGGTGAAATCGCTCCACCCTGGGAGGGCGTCACCCTGAGATGTTTTTCTGGAAGCCCTGAAATAAACTATTTCCTACATAGTTTCTGGCAAGGTGATGGTAAATAAGAAAAAGTGGAAGGTGCTAGCCAGGTGTGGTGGCACATACTTGTGACCCCAGCAATCGGGAAGCTGGCAGAAGTATAATACCACATCCAAGCCAGTTTGGGCTATGTAGCAAGACCGGATCTCAAAAACCAAAATTAAAAAATACAACCAAAAAAAAAAGAAGAAGAAGAAGCTGACATCTCTGGCCCCAGCGCCAAAGCACCTTCCCTGGCCTGGAGGAAAGATGCTGGGGGAGGGCGGAAGGGCGGTAAGTGAGGGGTGAAGGTAAGCGTCAGCGAAATGTGGGACTCCCCGCCAAACGCCTCCCAGGTCCTTCTCCGTGGAAGCAGTCACAAGAACATTGTGCAAGACGGGAATTGTGGCACCTTGCAGCCCTGTGTCATCTGCCAGCTCCACACATGGGGCTGGCCAGGCACCCCCGCCTCCAGCTGCCTTTGCAGAAGTGGGCTCTGCGGGTCAGCAGGGCCAGGGTGACACACAATCCAAACAAGCCGCCAGCGGGCACCAGGTCTAAGTTCCAATATCGGGGTGGACGGGGGAATTTCATTACTTAGTTCCAAGGAATGTGTGGGTCTCTGCGGACAGCTGTGGCCGAGGTCTGGACAGACAGAAAAGGAGACGAGACACGGGCTGTGTGAGCTTTGCAAAGGCTCAAGGAAACCCAGCGCTGGCCCTCAGTCCCCTTGTCCCTAGGCTGAGATTTCTGAAAGTAAGTGCTCTGATGTTCCCAGGGACACCTACTACTCTAGGAGCAGCTTAAGGGACAAAGGATTCCCAGGAGCAAGGTGCACCTGCCTCTGCACTGATGGCAGAGTGGGGACTCAAGCCTCTGGACTCTCAGGTTCGAGCCCAGCCTAGGCAATTTAGGAATTTAGGGGACGGTCTTAAAATTAAAAAAAGAAAAGGGCTGGGATGGAGCTCAGTGCAAGGGCCGTGGGCTCAATTCATTACTGCAACCAAAAAAAAAAAAAAAAAAAAAAAAAAA